ATGTTCTTTTCCCTGTACTGTTGCAACGCGTCGCTTGTGAGGCAGGTGAGGACCAACCACACGACGAAGCCACACCTCCTTCTCATTTCGATCTGCGGACAGAAAACACATAAATTAGTCGTAATGTCCTGGGAACGTTTCAGAGACTGCAACGATACGATTGTCTTCGCGGTTCTTTCGCGGTTAACACATACCTCGTACAGGATACAAAAGAGACGCTCTTATGGAACTCTACTTTGATGTAAAAGGGTTAACATGCAGGGTGTCTCATTTGTAACGAAGATCTGAATTAACGTTTTCGATCTAAATGTCTTAACCCTTGGACAGTCTAATATAATTACGAATTAGAGTCGGTAAAGTCGATATTTCACACGTATCTTTTTAATAATTACGTCGTGTGTGACTATTTTTAAAGCACAGTGTACACAACCCTACGTCACAGGTCTGATAATAATATCTCCACCCTTTCCAACTCTCTTCCTAAAAGTCTCTCTTGGGATAAACTGTCGAAGGGTTAAAAATGGAATAAATAGACGTGAATACGTAAAAAAATTTCGATAACATTAGGGACCATTTTTTATCATCACTAGATAAATCTAGTCTAAATCAGTCGAGCACGTTTTAAAAAACGTGACAATCATTATACACAATTCTGTCGATACAGTACATAATTTCTATATACGACAAAAACTAGACGACCAAAATCGAGCTCAACTTTCAACGAGTGGACCGTTTGAAAAAAAAAAGCAGCCTCTCAATGCTAAACGAGCGCAAAGAGACTCGTTTAAAATCGCCCCCGTTCCCGCCACCTAGTTTCCGAACGCTTTTAAAAAAATTTTTCAGCTCGAGTGTCGGTTCCGACGCGGTCGAGCGACAGATTTACAGGAAAGCGTGACAAACAAGCCCGAAAGAGTAGCGCGTACCAAGGTTTTTCCGATCTTTCGACGTCAATCGTAGCTCGCACAAAATCCATTTCGTTCTGACATCGGTCGTATACATCGTTTCTAATCTCATTTCATAATTTACCAAATTCTACTGTACCGTGTAAGCACACATTTTTGAACGAACGAAAATCGATCCTACATCGCGAACGCGGCAAATTACACGTCCTACAGGAATAATGCTCGAGGACCCGTGATCGGCGTTACTCGCTCCACGATCTCTGTTCGCGCCTCACTGTCAAACAAAAGGGTGGAACAATTTGAGCTCCGTGGCTCGATTCGATAGCCGCGAACAGATGTTAGTATTAACAGGCCGTATATAGGACAGGAGCGGCGATCATGGAGCTTGCTGGTGCACAGTAATCGATCGCCATAATGCTTTCACGTCATTGACAACTGTCGAGTGTTCGAAATGGGGCCCCGTGGCGCGGGCAGAGCTGTCACGAATCAAAAGCGAGCCTACTGTTCGACGAGACGCTGTCCGCCAATTATTCCCCAACCCCCTTCGAATTGGCCGCTCATTAATGCACTGGCCGTGCCATCGTGACAACCGAACGTCTCGCTGGTCCGGAAGACGAGGCGTAAAGTGGCAGGCTGGCGTCTTCGATCCGACGATCACCAAGTTCGATCGTTTAAACTAATTAACGAGCCGGAGGATTATGCCGGCGGACTTGCGATCCAGGCAACTCGACCCTCGTCAAAGTGAATGAGGCAGCACGCTTGGCCAGTTGCATTCCGTGCGTCACGTTTGTTGGAGGAATTTCCAGTTATTTGTCACTAGTAGGGGAAATTTGTGTGATCTTTAGTTGACAGAATAGTTGGACCGAGAGCAGGTGAAATTAGGAAAATGTGAGTTTAATGGGGATGAAATAGCTTCTCTTCTGACACTGTTACCGTGTGTTGGTACTTCTTCGTCATTTGGTGGGATAGAATTTTTTCGAATAAAAGGGTCAAGAGATGTTTTCCAAATCTTTTTGGGGTTTTTGCCCTCGAGGGCAAGAAAAATGTTTCGGCAATGCCACCACTTTCTGGGACTTTTCTCATAAGGGGCTATTTAACACTAGAATTACCGACCGGGTCAAAATGACCCATTAGCATCTTTCGAGAAAACGTGAATGTTCATCGTTTGTAACTTTCCGAATTTATTTTCTACATGTATGCCTCTGTTTGTATCGGTATGAACCGAATTTTCCAATCACTTACATAAAAATTCGCTTTTGTAAAGTCGCTGAGGTCATTTTAACTCGGCTGGTAATTCTAGTGTTAAGTGAACCCCAAAAAAGGGACGAACTTTTTTGCAATATTTTTGATTACACAACTACACGTCTAATTATCTCACCTCGCGTCAATTCCGCAAGAGCATTGAAATTTCCACAGAGAATCGAATAAAAATGATTAAAACGTCCGGGCGAATTTGTATCAAGCGGGGATTGAAAGAGTAACGGGGCAAACAACCTCGGCCGACAAACCGTGCACCGCATTACGCGGTCGATTATGTAACACCGATAACAATTCGCCGCGCTCGTCAGTCGAGCATCGTTCCTGAAATTTCCGCAGGCTGAAAGGCAGAGCAACGTTTCGTGTCCGTGGAATCCAGGAAGGCGCGCCACTGCCAGGCAGAATCTCGTTAATTTCACGGATAAAGAGCCTTCATCGCGCAGATGGAACTTTCTGCTTTGCTCCGGATCATATTCATGAAAACTGGCGCAAATGTCTCGAATGCCATGTGTACCAGTAGCTCTCGGTCCGACCACCAAACGAAACGGTTTCCCACCGTCCTCCCCCCGCGTCATACCGCGAAATCCTCAAAGAAATATTTCATAATATCCCGTTCTATTCCACGCTACGACCGACGAATAAATCTTGCTCTATCCTCTCACGCTGAATTGTCCAGCAACTGGATTCTTCGCACGCGATCATCCGCGGCATTTACGTGCACGATTCCTTTGAGAATCGGCGAGTGCATCGAGCAAACTTTCGCCTTTGTCAGAGCCCTCTACTCGATCTGGCTACTGATATAAATATTTGTGGTCCGTCCCGTAAACCGGCTAGTTTGCGTATAAATGTCGAATGTCGATACAAATCTGCTCTTTCGCCTTGTACACGGGAGATTCGGGATGAAATTTCGTAGAGACGTTGGTATTAGCATTACTAACGCCTAGAAACCCAAGTGGAAAAATCGAGAGTGTCCTCGTCTAGTTCGAGGTTTGGCTAGAGGGTGAATAATCAATCTGAATGGAGGTATAGGCGAAAGCCTCGGTACTCTGGATGCACGAAAGAGCGACTTGCGCGCTTTGTATACGGGAGATCCCGCTGGAGGGTCTCTGTCACCTTCGACTTATGATTGAGGTTCGTGACAGTGTATTTAAAATAGTAATAACAATGGTTTATTAGCAAAAGTAAAGAAGTAAAATAAATTTTCACTCTGAATCTGTTCCATTTCCTCCAGAACATTTATACTCCCACTATGCACACACACCCCTTGGATTTTTCGTCGTTAAAACTAACGGTGGGCCTTCTGAAGAAACGAACGATCGAAGGAAAAGATACTCGCGATCCTACACTACGTATACGGGAGATTCGAGCGATACGCGTTTAGCTATAGGGATTTGTTTGGATTTGGCTGGAATTGTTGCGGTTTGAATGGGATATGGGGTGTTCGAGATGCTGGAAATGACAACGTATGTGATTTCGTGAGATAGCTGTCTGGTATTCTGTGCGTCGGATGTTGGAATAATTTTTCGATGTAGCTTTTGGGCCGTTTCAATCGTTGATGCTTCGTTTTAGAGCATTCACTGCATTGGTAGCATATTAATTCGTATTATTGATTGCATTAATAGTACTACTGACTCTACTACTATTATAGTATAATACAAATATTCAAATATCATAGAAGTGAAAAGTGGATCTTAGTCCTTCTTCACACCTATACTTCTTTCGTCGTTAAAACTCTATCCATTAAAATACGAAGTTCCCTACCAATCACTGTCATTTACTTACTTCTCAATCTCCCTACAATTGAGTCCACACAAAAAGAACTTGTAATCCAACAAATCGCTAAAATTTCAAAACCCGACATTCCTCAATAAAAATCTTTCTACATCCGCACCGAAGCAAAGTACCTCCAGCAATATTTCCCGGAACAAAACCGTCGGAAGATCAGCGCCCATAAAGTTGCCCCGATAAACAGGGGCTGGAGGTTGTCACGCGCGATATCCGTCACGGTCCAGCTCGCGCTTATTTCGCGAGCGAAAGAGCTGGGCTTTGATCGCGTCCAAAGAATGGACGACTCCGTCAGCCTAGCCTATATTTCTCACCAGGGCTTATCCCTTTCCTTTTCCTCGGATATCCTCGGCAAATCCTCCAACGAGTAGCGTAAAAGTTTCTATTTTTCCCAAAGGGAAAACATCGTCCACCTCTGGAAGCTCACAGTCCTTTGGGAAAGAAACATCTCTCTCTCTCACTGGTTTGCGCGCATGCGCTTCTTGCACACATACACTTCTCGGTGTATAGAGAGAGTCTTGGAGTCTCGAGACGACGCGACGCGACGGCTGCACACTCGAAGCGGAACAGCACCTTCGAGGATCCTTCGTTCGTTTCATCGATCACGGAGCGAAGCTGGCCAGGCGTGAGCCCGGCCACTTGCACGTATCTCGTTTCACGGTTAGCCGGATCTAAAATATTCCCTAGCCCTTTTCATCGGGGACGGATCTCGTCGTCCTCTATGGCGAACCTTGATCCGCCGCGCGAAGAAAGCAGGGATAGCCGCCGCGGTGAAGGCAAACAGGCTGTATTTCCATTTCGGGGCCGATCGTTAAGCAGACACACACACACACACACACACCGCCTATACACGCTTCCCATTTCGCGTGTTCCGGCTAACGTTGCATTATCAAGCTACCGGACGGAAGAATGGTTAAATAGAAGGGCTGAAAGGGCCCTTCAATAGGGAAAATTGATTCTGCGGATGAAAGAGCCGCGTGCAAGATGCGGAAAGGAGTTTTGGTCGGTGCATGTTGTAGGCGTAACTGAAGGAGAATTGTGTGTATTTCGCTCGTTACGAGTGGTTAACACCTTATCGAGGGTGTTGTAATGTAGTGTAATAGTTCTCGCGTAGAGGAAATTTTGCACATTCTGTTGGACAC